ATATATATATAGTAGTTGTTATTGATTTCATTTATTCACTATGTTAAATGATAGTAAGTCATTTTCAATTGAATATTTAATAGCAAAAACATCATCATCATCATCATCAACACATTTTGTTCTATGTCATACAAATAATGAACAAAAATCTCAAACACCAATTACTTCATCATCATCATCATTAGATTTAAAACGTATGCGTACAGCATTTACAAGTATACAATTACTTGAATTAGAACGAGAATTTTCTTCAAATATGTATTTATCACGTTTACGTCGAATTGAAATAGCAACATGTCTTGGTTTAACTGAAAAACAAGTAAAAGTAATCGTAGTGTTTCTTTTTTGTTTTTGTAATTTTCTTAAAAAAAAAAAATAAAAATTTTTTAGATTTGGTTTCAAAATCGTCGTGTTAAATATAAAAAACAACGAACAATTACTTCATCGGAAAAGAAAAATTTACAAACATATCATATAATTCAACATCATCAACAAACAAATGGAAAACATATGGCTTTATGTAATGATAATTAAAAATAGAATGTATATGTAAAATATTATTGTCAGCATTTTATTCTTATAAAAATAAAAGAATTTAAGAAGATGAAGTTATATGTAATCTATAGTGCGAAAGTCTTGATACTACGAAGCTGCGGGTCCACGTTTTTGTGGATCTAGTCGGGTCCAAATCCGAGGTTTTTTCCCTAAATACCTGTCACCCTTCGTGTACATGAACAAATAAAGGATCAAGGTCTTAGCGATTTATTCATTATCCTAAGAAAAAGAACTGAACTTACAGTTATATTTTGTTGCTACACTTCTCATCTGGGAAGCAGCAGATCTACAGAAACGTGTAACCGATCCCGACAAAAAGTAAAACTTTGGACGCAGACTTTGTAGCTCCCTACTTGACACAAAATATCGATTTAATTTTTATCAGTATCAAACTTCAAAATTTCTCAATATCACTACAAACACACATGTTAGATATAGGTTATAGATCGTTTTGTGATTGCTAATTAATAATACAACATAATAAACTCAATGCATACGAGAGAAAAAAATGATACATTAAATTCTACATCAGAATGTAGTGCCCAAAGATCGTTAATTTAATCTATCATATTTCCTATCACTACTTTAACAAATGTACAAGTGAGCAAGAGTAGTTTTTGAGCATGTCATATTTTTGAAATTTCTGAACATAGAAAAGCTTATATAAAATTAGCCACCTATATGAAGTTATGCAGCTTCATTTGCTCTATTCAATGCTAAATTTTGTTTTGAAAATTAAATTAAATAATCGATAAAAAGCCGCAATTTAATCTGACTCACCCGTTATATCAAAAATTAATTAAAAAACAAAAAAATTAATTAGATTATTTTAATCAATTCTAATCAATTGTATGCAAATTTTATCTTTTTCTATATAAGACTATAAAGTGAATGTGGGTGTAGGCGAAGAGAAGACTCACTTTAACTCACACTCACACCCACATTCATTACTTTTGTACAATATTTATAAATTACAATTACTTGGTATTTTATCTCTAGGTGTTGCATATTTTTTCTAATTATCATACCGTCTAACAAGGATATCCGATGATTTATCCCCACTGCAACAGTGACTTTTATGTTTTCATTCATCTATTTAGTCTTTCTGGAACATGAGCAATGTTTTGTTATGAATTAAAGTTGCAAAATATATCATTTACATGTTTGAACGAAATCTGGAGTTTATTCTCTGAGTTAGACATGAAAATATCAACCAGCAATAGGCCCTAGTGGAGACTTCATAGCAATGCCATCACACTGTACATGGTGATGGATCAAGGGATGATCCGCGTCTACAACCACATCTATAACCTTCTCTAGACTCATATAAGTTCAGACATAAAAAATGTCTGATGAACATTATCTGAGATGCAATAAAAACCGACAAATTTCGTAGAATGAAAGCAAATAGGTAACCTTGCATAATGATTGTGCAATTTTTACCATATCGATGTGAAACGTGGCAAAAACAACAAGCCATTACTCACACATGCATATATATATATATATATTCAGATATGAATGTTTATGTTAGATCTCGACGCAGCTAGTAAGTCTATTTTCATGTTTTCTATTGCAGCTTATTTACCTTACATGCTTATGCTTTTCTTAATTGAGATAAAACTACTGCTTTCTATACTATGAAACTGGGTAATATCGTCATAACGAATTCAACGATCGGTTTCAATATTGAAACATTTGAATTTAAAAAGGGTAGGATGTTGGTGTTGATATTCTCTTCACCTATGCCCACACCCATAAAGGGGGAAAATTCAATTGGTCAGCATTGTACTTCAACACTCATTACCAATCGTGTATTTTGTTGTGAAAGAAATCTCTTATCGATCTATATATAACAGATCCGAAAATAAAGTTATAATGAAATTCAAATCTGAATGCACAAACAAATTAGCATTTTTACCTATCGATCAAACTATAAATCTTGATTTTGACTTTTATTTTTTAATAATACTAACCTGAGATGACAAAACGATTGAGTTCGCTAAAGGCACTAACTCTGCATGATATAAGAATTTTTAATGGATTTCTTTTAATGTATGAATAGAGGGAGACCAACATAGAGGGTAGTAAAACTTAGAATTGCTTCTATAGAATATTTTACGATCAAGCAAAAACAGCAATGATCATTTATTGTTTTTATTTTATTGATACGTGACAATGGCGAATCAATACTTTCTATCGTTACCTGTTGAATTAATCCATCGTATTCTTGATCATTGCGATACCAAAACTATTCTTTTGTCAATTCGTCGCATCTGCAAATATATATATGCTGTGGTGGACACTTATGATCATTTTGAGCTCACCTGGACTGAGCGCTCATTATCTGATGATCAATCTATCTGTCATTTAATTCAACCTAAAGACATCGTTTGTTTATCTTTCTTGAAAAATCGATACGACGAATATCTGATTCATAAGTTTATCTCACGTTTCGATATAAACCAATATATTCGACTTCGATCATTGACACTTCATGGTGTCAATAACGTAGAAATTTCACAATTTTTCAAACAGATGACTATCAATACTCTGACTTCAATGTCAATCGTTCCGCGTGATGTAATTAGTAGAGAAGCATTACTCCTAATATTGTCAGGGATCAATCAATGTCAACTTCAAAAACTAAGCTGGAAAAAATTTAATGAAGTAATTAAATATATGGTGTGGTCTCCCTTTAACAAATTGAAACACTTGCTGATCGATATCTGCGCTTATAGTGAATATGTTACAATTCTCCATCATTTGCCACATTTGCAAACACTTCTAATAAGTGAATGTACTATGAATAAGGATGATAATAAACTTGTATCAGATTGGGATCCTAAGTTCTATTCGTCATTGAAATCTCTCACCATTACCGACACGTCGATGATTCCAGCAGAATTTGAACCACTAGTTAAACTAACTCCTGCACTTCAATATCTAATGGTAAAGTGCAATAGGTTAAGAATGTTTGATTCTGTATTCGACGCCTCGTGTTGGGAACAATTAATTAGCACAAAATTAAGTTTATTGGATAAATTCCAATTCTTCTTCCGTACCAGTGGCTACAACAATCAAATTATTAGTCCTCGTTCACTCATACTTCCTTTTCAAACGCCATTCTGGCTTCATGATATACGTTGTTTTGTTACTTGTGCCTTTGATATACATTCATGTGACATCTGGCTCTATACAATACCAAACATTATCCATAATATCGAAAGTTCAAAGAGATATGAAATATCATCGATGGATAGTCTGTATCGTTTGACTTGTGGACCAATAAACAACGCACGTGATACAACAATAGATGAGGTTTGCATATGAATATTTTTTTTGAAATGCAAGTACAAGGCACAACTTAGTGTTGAATAATATAAATTCTGCGAAAAGAGTTTAGTGAATGGTTTGAATGACATTAACTCTTTTTGTATAGGTTGTTATTCCTACATTTAGTGTTATTGCTGTGTAGTCTCTGTCTTTTGTAACGAATATGAGATAATAATTCATTTAATACAATTATCTTTGCTGATTTGAGCTAAGCATAATGAGAAGTTTAAGCCTCTTTAGTTTGCAATTGTGGAAAACATATCTTAAGGAACCGCTTTCCCGAAAGAAAATTTTCAAGTTTTTTGTTTTTCTGCTCTACATATGCTTCGAAATGTTCTGCATCCATTGATGACGTTTTAAGAATTCAAATATAGCTCTAAAACGAAAAAAAGATTGGACAGATAAATCGATTGTCATAGGAATATATCACATTTTTTTCATTCTGTCGTCATTTTCTTGGAATCTGTTTTTTAAGTAAAAAAAACCTGCAGAATCACCCCTGTTTGTCAAGCATGATATATTTGATCAAGCGGAATTTTTTTTGTACGAGTATTATGGTCTATGTCAGAGTTAAATGGTCGTGGGCGTTTTTCAAATAAGTTAAAAACAAAAAGTGAGAAAAAAAATTCTGTTTTAAGAACTATCCAGAGTCGACACTAATCTATGTTTTCGTAAAGTCCATCAAAATTTCCAGTCACTTTTCTTCTTGAGTACAGCATGAGTTTCGGAGATGAGCCTAATCAACTTCAAAACGAAAGTGCTTTCTCAATTATAATACAATGGGCAGATAACCTGCTTTTTCCTCTATCGACCTACGCAAGCCCAAAATCGATAACAGTTTGCATATTAAAAAATCACATGTTGTATTTACTTTGATGATAATATGGGTGTAGGTGTGGATTGGGTATGAATTTGTGATTATGAGTGTCGGTGTGAATGTTAGTTTGAGCATAAGGGTATAGTGTGTGCCGGTGAACATTCTCTTAGCACTCACATCTTACACCTACACCCGTATTATCATAAAAATAAATACAACGTGTAGTTTTCAATATGCAAACTGTTATCGATTTCGGGCGTGCGTAGGTCGATAAAGGAAAAGACAGGCTATCTACCAATTATATTATAGTTGAGAAAGCACTTTCATTTTGAAGTCGATTAGGCTCATCTTCAAAATCCATGCTATACTCATGAAGAAAAGCAACTGAACTATCAGTAGCTTTGAGATTTTATGAGAACTTTCACAGCATTAAAACACTTCTTTACTATTTTGGTTTAGAGCGCAAATATTCAGAAGACTAGCCTATATATCCCAGAAGAGCTTCCTTTCGTTGAAAACTCTAACGGTGAGCATCTTCAATACGAAATACGAATATGCAACTTCATTCTCTCTTTGCCTATATCGTTTACATATTTTCTTCTAAAAACAGACTATTATCATACTGCAACAGCCGTACAAAGAAATCAGAGACGATGGAGTTCGATATCTCTCGGATATCTTGAGAAACAATATTGTGACGTTCATCTCGTTCTTCCTTTTTGTTTCTCATATGCATCTTCGCTTGTATACAGACACTCATTACATTGGACGTTGGTACAAATAAAATTGGACCCAAAGGAGCACAATATTTGGCTGATGCCTTATTCCAGAATACGGTGATTCTTAGTCTCTGCATCGTTTTCATATTGATCTTATCCTCGACATATAGACACTCACCACATTGATCCTTAATTTCAATTCAATCAATGATGTGGGAGCGAAATATCTCGCTCTAGCCTTAATGAAAAATAAGGTAATTTTCATTCTCTTCTCATTTTTCTCGTATCTACTCTCTCTCTCTTTCGTCTACATATAGACACTCATCAAACTGGAAATCAGTGGGAATCACATTGGAACGAGTGGAGCATTATATATTGCTGATGCCTTACTGAAGAACACGGTGAATCTTCATTTTTTCTTCGTCTTGCTCATATTCATCTTTTCTTCTACACATAGACACTTACCATTCTGAATATTTCTTCAAACAAAATAGAAGCTGACGGGGCACAAAATATCGCTGTTGCGTTACGAAGCAACACGGTGATTCTCATTCTCTCTTTATCTATCGTATGTTCACCTTCTTTTTCAAATACAGACACTCACCAAACTGAATATTAGCAACAACATTATTGGGGACATAGGGACACAACATCTCGCGGATGCCTTACGAAACAATAACGTAGGACTCATTTTCTCAACGCCTCTTACCTATCCATATTCTTCTCTACAAATAGACACTTGCCATACTTGATCTTTGGAACTGCCGCATTCGAGACGATGGGGCACAGTATCTCGCTGATGCGTTAAGAAATAACACGGTGATTTCAAATCTTCCATAGTATTGTTTTCTAATATTCACCATATACTCTACTTACAGACACTCAAAGTACTAGATCTTACTTTGAATTATATCACTAGCAATGGTGCAATACATTTCGATGCTGTATTGCGAAGCAATAAGGTGATTCTTCTTTTTCTGTCTTTACCTATTGCATGTGTATCTTCCATATATGCAGACACTAATCAAGCTGGATATGAGCAATAATCAAATCAGCTGGCTTCGAAAGCATATACTATGGAAAGATAGCCGAATTCTTTTTTAAATTGATTGTTTTTTTTTATTCTACGTCAATAAGCTTTCTCTTACAATTTTTGTTTTCAAATGTTTAAATAAAAACAAGGAGTACCTAAATGTATCAGATAGATATAAAGAAGTGACTTAGAAGAGCGGTAAAAAACCAAGTACTAGAAGGGGCGCTTTACTCGTCTATTTCCTTACGAAAAAAAAATTTCTGAAAAGGTACGAGTGTATTAGTTTTGCCTAACAGAAACTTTTGACATTGTTCAGCACTACCCTTGGGAAATTTCTGACAATATGCCTACGACTTATCATATTTTAATTTGAATGTTTTTCAGAAAAAAGAGGCGAAGAGTTTCATTAATTGTTGACATAAATCGCCTTAAAAAATCAGACTTATTTGACGTAAACCGCGCCAAAAACTTTCGGAAATTTAAAAATCGTAAACATATCGCAAGTTTTGCGAAGTTTCTAATTTTCGAAAACCTGTGAATTTAAATCAACACTTTTAGACACGAAATTTCAAATGAAAAATCGAAACAGTTTAATGCTTTCTACACCACAAAAGAATCCGTCAAGTTTCTTGCCCTTGCCATATCGATTCGTCAGTTACAGCCTATCAGATAATTACAATTCTCTTGCTACATGCTTCAGTGTATCGAAATGCATTATTGCAGCTTTATTCTATACGCATACTCTCAAAAACATCTTTTTACACCGCCAATATAACGTTTTATACGATTGTTTATGAAGTCATCGCTTTTGTATTTTTTGAATATTCCTTCACCATTTTACGCTGTGTTATTTTGATGTAGCAGAATTTGTGCACGATGCAATGTATGAGTTACACATTATCATTATTCTTTGCGTTTCCTCGCTATTCTGCGTCTTGTAACGTAAACTCCCCTCCAGAATTGTACGCCACCCTATCATAGAAAGGCACCCGGAATAGAAGACCACTCAGGACCGTTTGATTCTCTTGACATAAGGGTGTGGGTGCGGGTGTGGATGCGTTTCAAGAGGATATCCGAATCCACACCCACATCTACTCACACATCCACCCACACACCTTTGTACACCCACCAATAAATTTCGTAACTATAAATGAAAACTGAATTATTTATTAATTCATTTGCGTCATCCAATGCTCTTCATCAACACCAACACCCACACCCTCTAGTACACTGCGGCAGAGCACTTTTTAGCTGCTCCGCTCATCTCTAGTACATATTACTGATTTTGTAAGGATATATATAAGATAGAAAATTCATATCATAAGAGTTAATCAAGTGCGTATATTCTCATCACCAATATATATGCTTTCCATTTGGACAATAAAGTGGAACAATTATAATATTTTTGCTGTTCAAAAAGCAATCAGCATACCAATAAGATTAACTGGCAGTTTATGCATCCATCTTGTGTGTTCACTTCGTATTTCGAATTAATTTATCAATGTGAAAATATACATAGACAATAATGACAATTTTTTCATGATAAAATGATAAAGACTGTTAATTTACCTCATCTGAAATCAGTTTCTCGTTGTCTAAAAAAGTTATGCTTCTCGTCATCTCTAAAGTGAAACCCTGAAAATAAACAAGATTACCATTAATTTGTTACATAATTAGACTGTAATAAAACAATGCCATGTAGAAAAAAACCTACTATTGTATCTACAAGTTCTAACTGGATTCGATAAAAATAATATGTAATTTCTAATAGATGTGTAGTTCGCGAAAAATGTTTTGAGCTTCTCATTGACAATTTGCAGCATTTTCTATTTTCCTAGTCTGTAAAGTTTGATTTAACTCTTCTTTGAAAAACTCATCATGATAAGTAGTGAGATCTTTTCTCAAATTAAGAACCATTAATTGAATGAAAAGATAGTACAGCAAATAAATTATAGATAAAAATAATATTAAAATTGGAGTATTTCTTATGTAAAATATCGTACAGAAATATCATAGTTTATTTTAATTTAATTTCGATAAATAACGAAAAGTAAAAAATTTATATGTAAAATAAATATAAAACAGGATTTACATTTATAATAAATATAAATTTATCGTAATTTATATTTGATATAAATTAAATGGTAAATGACACCCCTACTCTCTACAGTCGAGAGAGAAGCAGCTACTGAGGTTATGGTCGAATGCGCATTATTTCCAATTTATGATTCACTCTTTCCCTGCGCGCCCTTAAAGATGCTCGATCGATAAGTGATAGAATACAAAAAAAAAGATAAAATTTTCATGCAAAAAATATGGGGTATCTCATTAAAATATGAGAATGAATAATTTGACGTATATGGATGAATGCACTCAAGCCAAGCTAATATAAATATGTGTATGTAAATGACGTCATGTATATTTTATTTTGCATACAACGAATGCCGACAAATTACACTGTTCTTCTTCTCATCAACACACCATATTTCGAACGCATATATTCAATAAAGGTAACTGTTTTGAAATTATATTCTCTTACGTAGACCGTTTTCATCATCGGGTGTGGGTGTTGATGAAGAGAAGACTAACATCCATCCACAACCACAATCACAATCACACCCACACTCGCACCCACACCCTTTTTTCGGCGATGTTGGAATCAGTGAAAGTCATTATAGGCGAAAATAGACTAATTCTTCTATTCTGCGAAGTTGTCACTATTTTATATGATTAGTTTGCTCCTTTTTATCCCATTCTATTCATCATCTTTCGCCAGTTCACAGACGAGAATCGAACTATTAAAATAATGTGACTGAGAATTTCGTGGGAAGGCATAAACATAGAATGATGGTATTACCGAGAAATGGCTACAACTGAAGGTGAATACCTCCTTTCCGCAAATGATTGCATCTTGAGGGTGTGAGTACAGACCTGGGTATGATTTGTGTTAAGGATAGGCATACCCATCCGCACATCCACATCATTATCGTTAGGCCCACGGGTGGATACGCAAGGACGGTGAAGCAGAACCTAATGCGACCTATCAAAATGTAATTGTGATGGAAAACAAAGAAGAACAACCAACGAATGCAGTTCGTCCATTGCAAGCACCTTTCCGTTGTACACAATCCGAAAGAGTCAAGAAAAGCTTTATCTGACTCATTCATCTGTCAGGATAATCGAAATCACTTCTCAGCCATAAATACATCTAGCAAGCCAACTGGGAAAGTTTTCACTAATTCGGCGATGTGTAAAAGTCACTATGAAAAACTTCTAGCTAGTTAGTGATGACTTTTTATGACGGTAAACATTGTCCAGAAACATAGAACTGTGTTACCAAAGTAAAAGAACACCTCAGAACCCATCCGTATCTTGACGTAGCCGCGGCGACTTTCAGACTACCGATGAACGTTTCTAACAGATAGCAAAAGCTGTTGGACCGTATAGAAATGTATGAAAGGAGTCACAAAAAATAAACTTCAGACAACCTAGCCATGTGCTAGAGTGAATGTTAAAAGCTTTATGCTATTCATTAGATTTCTAGTTGGAAAAGAATTATGAAAACGTTCTACGGAGAACTTATGCACAATTGAGACTATTATGAGCTTTTGATCGAATGATCGTACATACTTATGGCGTAAGTCGAGATTTGTGAGTATTACAGAATAAGCATAACTATATTTCAACAGATCTTGAGAATACCACAAAATGTTTTTATAGCGTAATTACATCGTCCCAGAGTGTATTTATATCACAGACAGTGTTACACTATACTTATATACGTAATTAAACATCGTAAAAGGACGTCTGCAAAGCTGAGAACAAATGAAACATTGATAGACCCACATGTAGTCATTTGAAATGGCAAAGTTTTAAATCATTTTCTTAATATTTAAAATTTGATTTGAATGATTCAATAATGTTATGGTGAAGACTCTATTGAATAGTTAAAAGAAAACTACAAATGTTATACTATAAATATGGATGAAGCTGTGAGCAAGTGTTGATGACTTTTTTGTTCGGTAGAAGTTGAATAGTTTGGTAATAGAAAATTCCTTTTACCGCTTAATTCAATTATTAAAAATAAGCAGCTCTCACAATGAGTTCATTGAAAATCATAGATTTTACAAGTTTCTAGAATACTCAGAGCTGTGTGAATTTCTTCGTCTATTTGAGTAGTTCTGCGAGTCATATGAGATCAGAGAATTCGTAGTGTTCCTTGAGTCTTAAAACTATCATATAGTTTTTAGTATTAAAATGTTTGCTTTCTAACAGATTTTGGAATTTCATCAATTCTAGGACTTGCAAACTCAGAGAAGTTTGCCAGATATTCTACTATTTTCTTGAAAATTAGAAAATCAAGGATGTTATAGTAATTAGCAATGCTTGCATGTAGAATAATCATCAATCTAAAAAGACTGCTGTCAAACAGAAATATTTCAATCAGAATTGTGTTCTTGGTGATACATCTCATCTAACCGAATTAAGTCAAGATTTCAGGGCTAACAAATTTTAAACTCTCAAATTAAATGAATCTTATGAGTTAGTATCAACAATGCTTCTTCAATACAGTGATGTCAATGATTTTCGAAACATGTTTTTGGCTCCTATTGTGGTAACTTTTATATATTCCTATTACATTATTAAAGTAAACCGTCAGATTAGCTAGCGTTGTACAAAGTGTGGAACAAAGACTTCTATGAGAACTCTCTATTCATAATAGCAACAAATTGAAACAAATAAATTCAGTCAAATATCAAAGAAATACTAAAAAAAATAAATGAAAACTGAAACAAGATCATAATATCAAATAATGGAGCGATCAGGTAACAACTTGTATCTGAATCAGACAGAAAATGTTTGACTAGTCAAGAAACATAAGGTTGAAAGTAAAAAATCCAAAAAATATGGTACTCTTTGTGATCTATTCTTTCAGAGACGAAACAGTTCAAGTAGCCGAATGTAGAACGAAATACTCCACAAAGTAAGAGCTGTATGTAACTGCAACTATGATAAATATGACCATTTATCATGTAAGAAAACTGAGAGTTTTGTGAAATAAAACAGAGTCTCAATTCTGCTGCTGTTATTTCTTCTTTATCATTGAAACTAAAAGAACGCAAATTCAATTCATGATATATGTCATTGTTGCAAGCATGATACTACTTGAAATTTACAGAGTAAAATTCAACATATTCTTTGTTATAATTCTGTCGGTGAAAGGTAAAAGAATATTGAGTACGAACTGTTACTAAATTTGAGTGTAATAAGCAGCTTTTCTTTCATGAAAGAATCATGTCAATAACAATAGAAGACGAGAAATTTAGACTTTAGATTGATCATTTAATAAGTAGAGCCACATATAGATCATATCTGTTAATTAAGAATACAGATTGTTTTCTACTAAATTCTATCGAATTGAATATGTTTATATCTTTGACTTAATTACATATACTAAGTTTCTATGTAACAGAGTGCTATTTGATCGTCACAAGAAAGAGGTAACACCTAATCATATTATCTGCAAGTAGTTCTGAGCAAAACATAACGACTGAGAATTTCTCGAAGACACATGCTCAATAAGTCGGCCAAATTATCATTCAATAGGTTCCCAGTTGAATTCCATTGGTTTCTCAGTTTAGTATAGCTTATATTGCAATTTTCTATTCTACTGGATACCTCGACATAAATTGAAAACTTGATAGATTAGGTTAAACTCGAGAAGGATAATTGAAGAGCATGATTTATTCTAGATTTTTTCTACTCTTAATAGGTTCCATTTAACGAGTAAAGTTTCATCTCAAAAGTTTCTTATAACATGAAGTGCTTGGGATGCGAGACTATCAACCGTCTTATCATATTGTAAAGTCAAAATTAAAATCGATTAATATGAGACTTTTTTTTTCGTATGGTAATTGATTTGCATCTAGCTATACTTTACTCAAAAAAAACTATTTCTAATTGATTTTGATTCTGTTACAAAATAATCAAATTTATGATTTTAATTATGGTGATATGATTAGATAATTTTAATCAAATTTAATAGATAGATGTTTTCATTGGAAAAGACGAAGAAGTGTTTCATCCTTTACAAAACAACATTTTTAGTCGACTCATAATACACTAATTTATTCTATTGTTATTTTTTTATTCGTGTATTGGCTAGAAAACGCAGGGAGGAACAGAAGAGGTGTAACTATTAAAAAGAATTGTTTGACGCGTATCTGTTCAAAATAAACATTCTTTAAATCCATTTTTGACAGTTAATTAGCAAAGATGAATGAATAGTAACGTCAATGAAGCTAACAGAAGATCATCTCTGTTTAATATCCTGTTATCGTCGTTCATCATTAACGATCACTTGAGAACATCTCTTAGAATGAAGATAGTCTAAAGAAATTTTGGGATCTTTTGCTGAAATGAAAAATATAAGAAGACTTCTTTCCCAATTGTCTTTCGTTTAATCGAATATATATAAATAATGATAGCTTTTTAATAATGAGACAAATATTTTAAGTAAGAAACATTCAACACTTCGTCGGCTTACTCTGTTTTTTTTAAATAAAACGAAAGTAGTAAAGCATCATAGGTAACTTTAAAGCTGACATTTTCCGAAAAATATGACACGATATTTATTTCTTGTTGTTTTATGTATAACAACTCGAATTCAATATTCATTTGATTGAAATTAATGTTAATCACATAATCTTATTATCAATTGTACTGATAAGAGTTTTTAGTTAGAACACTAAACTACTATACTCATTAATCATGATGACAAATTTGTATCGAAACCTCTCAAACTTTTCTTATTAGATAAACAACTCCGAGTAAATCATTTGTCATAAAACTAATGCTTGAACAAGCTTTTTTTTCTAGCTAAATCTGTAGATTTACTTTTATCCATTGTTCTCTACATTTATTTGAGAATACCACTGTTTTTAAGGCCCCTATCAAAAATTTCAAATTTTGCCAAAAATATCGATTTTTGAACTTTCTACATGGTCGAATAGCCCATATTTTCTACTTTCGGAATCACTATTATTCTTAGTTTTTACGACGGTTTCGAGAGGTTTTCTAATGGTTTTTTCACGATTTCCAAGAGATTTTGTAAAAAACTCACAAGCAGAAAATGTTTGTTAAAATTTACGTTTTGCAGCCCTGCGACTTTGCCTATAGGCTTCTGACTTGGAACACATATCCTGCATGCTCTAGCAGGCGCATTTCATGCATTCCTTGAATGTAATCTCTCGTCAATCGCTCTACAAAGGAAAAAAACTGGATTTTCAAAATTCAACTGTGTGTCTGTCTTTCTTCTCAAACGAGTTTTTTTTGTTTCTGCGTTCTAGATTTCTCAGACATTTTACATGCTAGAAAGCTCGGGAAGGTTTCAAATTGAAAAACAAATTACACTTCACAACTAAGCAAAGCTTGACTTTTTACTTTTTACTTAGTTCTTGAGAAAAATGCATCTTTTTCTACAGGATTATCCCTATTTTATCGAACTTTTCAAAAAAACTGGCACTAAAAATTAACAAAGAAAAATTTCAAAAATCGGGCTCTGCTAAGTTGCAGCAGCAAGTGTTAGATACATTTCGATGTAAACCCGAGATCTGTATCATTTAATTTGGAGGAAAATCTGGAATGCATGGAGACCTACTCTTGGATCCTTGATATAGGAATAACTCTTGAAGAACTCAATATTTCGGGCTGAAATTTTAATTATAAAGTTTTTAGATCTGCACGTGTATATCCTGAAATTTCCAATCAGATCGGTTGTTCTGGGACGAAAATAGATTTTTGATAACAGAGAGGCCTTAACACCTGCAAAATTGATACCATCAGTGTTCGATGAGTTTTGCTAAAAAAATGTAATAGAAAAAAAGTTACGGGTCAGAAGTTTTCAGTGAATCTCGTTAGTCATTAATTGAAATATAAAGAACGTCAAATTCTGAAAAAAGTCTCAGAAAAAACAATTATATTTTAGTGAAATTTATGTTAAGAAAACCGATATAAAATTAGACAATGAAGAATTGATACATAGGGAAATAGTGTGCATTCACTATTGAAAAAATTTCTATCATATTCATAATTCAATATAAAAAATTTTAACTTACTTTGATAACGCCATGAGGAGATATCTCCGCATCAGTGCTGAAACTAAAATTACGCATAGTGTAGATCTTTAGACTTATATAAGATCAAATAAACCAGTACAATATAAGTTCAATGATCGTAACAGTTGATTACTTTTACGAGACAAAAAGATCAACATTGGTAAAAATAATACTATAAAAGTTGTCATTTATTACTTTTCAGATATTTATTATTTTATTATTTCGCGAAGAATTTCTTTTCTACTAAATATGGCTACAGGAGGAGGAGAAGACGCAACAGCACAGCATATTTTACGCATTACAGACATTGCCCAGGAGCCGCTTGAATTTATCACACCCATTGGTGGCTACGAAGAAATGCCACTTGTTCCACTTGACATAGCTGTTGAACCGCTTGTTCCTATTCTACCAGCTGTTCAAAGTCATGCATATGTTGCCAAACAAAGGTGTGAGAATCCTGCCGATGGATTGACACAAGATGAATCCGCCTCGATTATGCTATACACGATGAGCTGGAAGCCACTCGATAAATGCTTATATTGCGTTTTGAATGATACATTGCGATCACCAGATCGACAACAAAAGCTTGAACCATGGTATTTATTTCTGAGACTCTTCCTTAACGCACTCTATCGTCTTCCATCACTTCATAAAACTGTATACAGAGGTGTTAAATTAGATCTGAGCAAGCGCTACATCAAAGGAGAAACAATCGTCTGGTGGGGTTTCTCCTCTTGTACAACAGTTGTTAATGTTTTGAATTCGAACCAATTTTTGGGAGCGAAAGGTGATCGTACAATGTTTACCTTACAGTGTCTATCGGCTAAAGATATTCGTAAGCATTCGTATTATCCAGCTGAAGACGAAGTACTTCTGATGGCTGCTACTCAATTCAAAGTAATCGGTTGTCTTAATCAAGGTGATCTTCATATTATTCAATTGGAAGAGGCTCGTCCACCGTTTCCACTCATGCAACCAGTACCAGTTATTATCTCCCCACCGATCGATCCAACTTCTTCAGGTAAGTGAAAATCAAAACGAAAGAATATTCCACTTGATAAATAATAACTCAGCTTTCGATACCCTGAAAAAAGTCAAGAATAATATGCTTCGATCAATGTACGTATCATACAAAATGAGCACAAAGAATCGATTTCCTACCGATTTAAAAAGCGTTCACAAACAAAAAGAAAATAGAGTTAGTTTAAAAGAACAGAAAGAAAGACTCTTCATGATAATCTTCGATTTCTTACATAGTTTAAGTAATCAATTAAGATCCTGATCAATTTCAATTACTGTTTTCTTCATCTATTAGTATCTAATTTCTTTCGTGAAATCTAAGGAAGTGATTCAAGTTGATTTGTTTTCTAAATCCACAAGTATCACTGGAAATATTTTCTTCAGGAGATGCTTTCTTCTCCTATACTACCGGCCCAAAGAATCGTAGATAATGGGTAGATGTAATGATAATTTTTCCTACCGTTAGAAATCCACAAAAATACTCTTGTTTTTGAACAACTTCTAAAGGATTTGGATGAAGTTAGAGTAAGAGTACATTTTTTGTTCAAGTCAATAGTGATGCTTAAAAAAGGTTATCTCTAGCCTTGTCTTTATGGATATGAAGTGTGAAGAAGCCTTTACTAGTGGTAAAAAATTCAGCCCGTTTGCTCAAGCCATAACAGAGATATTCGATTGTTTCTCGGTTGTGTGACTTTTGGACCACCCTGTATTTGATAAAAAATTATCTTTTTCTAAAATAAGATTGAAGCTTCATAGGCAAAAAAAAGAAGCAAAGTAGCTGATCAGACTGATCACTTCCATATATCTATGAGAGATATTTGAGAGGTTTGATTTAATTAAAGTCAATCTATAGTATTAGTAATCACCTATAAATGACTAGAGAAATGATCTACTCGAATTTTATACATTCTAACATTTTATGTCCTACGGTCCCTTCGATTCAAAAACCAGAAAGTGTTGTTTTAAATCCGACCCTTATCTCAGAATTATTTGATACATATTGCTTTTAAACCCATAGTTTTCATCTAGTTTTTATAACAATATCACTGTTATTCATATAATTATAGTTTGCATATTGTTTTACACGCATGTTTTTTGTCGATAAAGAAATAAATGTGGAAACCTCGGATTTAAATCCGAGTGTTATGTGTACTTCAAAAAGTGAATGAGACAGATGAGTCATCGTAGAATGTGTGGACATAAAAATTATCCTGGCAAATCTTTTCTATAAACACTTGATTTCTATTGGCTACTGCTCAACCAATAGGATTTAGATGTGAATAGAGCTCAGATTTCAACTCTTCGCCTTGATTTACCCTAACAAAGTCGTTTTTCCTATAACTTGATTTCTATTGGTCACTGCTCAACCAATGGTATTTCGAGGCAAGTGGAGTACAGATTCGAGTTCTCCGCTCTAGAAAACCTCGAGCTATCATCTCTTTGATCGAAAGACAGAGCTCTAATTGTGGATCAATTAGAGTGCAGACACAAACAGAACCAATTCCCGTTTAATTATCTTTGCAATAGCTGAGTTGGCTTTCTTGTTTCTTCATGTTTTATATACCATTTTGTAGCTCGTGAAATTCTCTATCGAATGGTATATAATAGTTGGGGTTTTATTTGTTTATGATAGGAAAACTTTTTTTATGAAAGCGGGGATAGGTCGATTTTCGCATAGGAAGCCATAGGGAAAAATGACTATTTTTGCAATAACTCAGGAACGACTCGGCCAATCCTTCTCACCTTCAAACTCGACCGAGATATTGTTGAGACTAAACTGTGTAGAAAATTTCATCGCGATCGGACTCTCCTTTCAAAAGTTATCGTGTAAACGGATAGCCGGACGGACACACTGACCGATTCTATGGTGTACTCACTTTTTGAGTACACAAAAAGCTAATTTTTAAATTAGATATAATACTCTAAGTCAAAGAACATTTTTTTAAAAACAATTAGTATAGATTTAAGTAAATCAAGTCAAGCTATAAGGCATCATCTACCAATGAAGTTAAATGTAAGTGTAAATTTTTTCTTCTCTTTCGATTTTATTGCTGTGTTCAAATTCGTTCATAAATATATTAGTTATAGTAGCTATAAAATTGATCAATCTGATTAAATATTGTCGGCAATGAAGAGAATAGTATATAGTTCTTTCTATCTTCGATTCAAGGAAGAAAATATTCAATCTTTGATTGCTTTCATTTCTTTTACGATATGAGAAAATAATTTCAAGTTAAGGTACAAATGCCACCATTAATCTATGTAAATTAAAAGATGATGTTCATATCCTACACTCACAACTATAACGTTGTAAAGTCGTCGTAAACTCTTAAACTATAAACTTCAAAACAAAAACGACATTCAAAAATGGGCTATAAATTATGATAAAACTTCTGTAAACTCTTGTATTAGATTTAATCAAAATTTTCTTGAACTCAAACGCAAATCGATGAATATTGCTCAAACATCATGAGTATCGCTTTATCAATATAAAATAAATGCGAAAACCTCGGATTTAAATCCGAGAGTTATGTGTACTTCAAAAAGTGAATGAGACAGATGAGTCTTCCTAGAATGTGTGGACATCAAAATTGTCCTGGCAAACCTTTTCTATAAACACTTGATTTCTATTGGCTACTGCTCAATCAATACGATTTGGAGGCAAATACAGCTCAGATTTGAACTCTTCACCTTCATTTACCCTAAGAAACTCGCTTTTCCTATAACTTGATTTCTATTGGTCATTGCTCAACCAATGAAAGTTCGAGGCGAATGGAACACAGATTCGAGTTCTCCACTCCAGAAAACCTTGAACTATCATCTCTGTTATCGGAAGAACGAGCTCTATTTATGGATCAATTAGAGCGTGGACAAACACAGAACCGAATTCCGTTTAATTATCTTTGCAATAGCTGAGTTAACTTTCTTGTTTCCTTATGTGTTATATACCATTTTGTAGCTCGTGAAATTCTCTATCGAATGATATATAATAGTTGGGGTTTTAATTGACTATGATAGGAAACGTTTTTAAGGGAAACAGAGAAGGGTCGATTGTCTCATAGGGAAGCATAGGGAAAAAAATCAGTATTTTTTCAATAACTCAGGAAGGGCTCGTCCAATCAGGCTCATCTTCGAACTCGACTGAGACATTGATGAGACTGAACTGTAAAGAAAATTTCATCGTGATCTGACTCTCCTTTCGAACGTTATCGTGTAAACGGCCGGACGGACACACTGACCGATTCTATGGTGTACTCACTTTTTGAGTACACAAAAAGAAGCTAAATTTCAAATCTACTTCATTCGAAATCTTTATTTAATTTTTACTTTACATTCTGTAATGTGTAGAGCGTTTTTAGAACTTCATCAATCCATAATATTATTATTTTTATAAAAGTTTTGCTATTTAAATAGTATTCATAGGTCATATTCATAAAAGAAATATTGTCAACAGTTGTTTTGAAGTATTTAAAACTGACTTTAACAATGAATTTTGACTTTACGTGAGCTATCAATAATAATAGGTTCATTATCGTAGCAGACAATAACCAATATATAATCTTTTCGATTAATTCATACTGGTGTCGCTTCGTTCGTACTTATACCACAGATAAAAGTCTTGTTACTCAGTATACTCTCAGAGTTTTAGTTATAGAGAGCAAGAATTTGTTGATAAAACTACAATATTCATTTTTCATGACTCTTGGAAGTTTAGATTTTTTCTTAAAGTCAGCTGTAAATACACTAAAGCAAGTTTTGATAATCATGGATAAAAATATCAGCCCACTATACCAAGAAGTATGTTAGGTATTTGACTAGTTATTAGAGACAAAAGCACTCTATATAATCTTAAATTTCATTTGGACGAATTCTGCCTATACTGAGTAGATTGTATATCTTATAAACATTTTAAAAAATCTGAGAACATCTCTTTTTTCTACTTGATGTCATTTTTGAGATTTCTTTTTGCTTCAAATTAATAAACTTGACTAAGTAAATATCCGCTCATAAACTGTTTTCATAACTTCTAGAATTTCTAGCGAGAAAAAATGATATTTTTTTTTCGATATTAGAAATTATTTACTATTATATTATTATAATAATAGTAGATTCGAATGTCATTCAGAAAATCATCGAAAAACAAACTAAATATATTTATATCATGTAGGTTAAGAAATTCTACGAAAGAATTTGTAAGTTATATTACATCAATTCGATATTATTGTTCTTATTTTCATTATTGCTTTAACAAATATATTTAAGTATGATAATAATTTCTTTTCGTTACTAAGAAAACAGATCTAAAAACAATTTAGAATTCGGAAAAAATCAAAAAAGTTTTTTTTGATAAAACTATAACGAGTTTTCATCATTTTAATGAGAATCTTTTTAGTCTAATGAAACTACTTAATGTATTAAGATGATATTGTATCACAAGTATCAAACATGGCTGATGAATGATAGTTTATACTAAATTGAAAAAAGGATTTACTTTTATAAAAAAAAAAGTTATACAATTAAAAGAGCAGCTCAGAGACAAATCCTAATTAACGTTTTATAGAGATCGTTTTTCAACCTCTATCATAAAAACCTTAAAGTGCACACGACTTTAAGCATCTAGATATTTCATTTTATCATTTTTTTTCTTCTTTCGAACATCCTGTATCATACGAAAATGAGCTGAATATCGCTGAAAGAATCGTAAGATTTCCTTTTCAAATTCTAATACAAAACTAGAACATATAAATCTCCTTAGAATTACATGCTAAGCAGTTTTCTCTTCCTCGACATCGAAAGCATTTCCTTACGATGTGCTTTTTTTAAAGACTACGTTACAGAAACACTGTCTCATTCATAGTACTTTCTCGTGTATGAGAGACAAAAATCTCTTCGATAATGACGATCTCTTTTCGGTTTCGTTCATTGTAGTAATTCCTAATATTCCAAAGAAGTTATCCTGGGTACTGATTAGGATCAACACTTGTGTACTAAGCAGAGATGAGCAACTA